CATCCATCCATCCATCCATCCATCCATCCATCCATCCATCCATCCATCCATCCATCCATCCATCCATCCATCTATCATCTGTCTGTCTGTCTGTCTGTCTGTCTATCTATCTATCTCTAGATGAAGAGACATCTGAAAAGAACTACTAATATTTTAATTCATTCAAAGACTTTGTAAATAATTAACTGTCCATAAATGAGACTGGAAAATTCTTATTGCAGTTTCCAAAATTTCCTGCTTATCTCACAACTAGTATTAAACACAAATTTTTGAATTCTGCATAGCTCATGCTTTCTTGGTCTTGAATAGATATGTAGGGCTCAATCCCATTATAGGTAACTGACTTATGACCACAATTGAGTCCAAAATTTATGTTGCTAAATGAGATGATTGTTAAGCAAAATTTGCCCCATTTTATGACTTTTTCTTGCTGAAGTTTGGCCAAAGGTTGGTGAACCTTTTTGACACCGCGTGCCAAAACGGGAGCATGTGCATGGGGAGGGGAATGCCAGAAAACAGAAGAGCAGTTCCCCAGTGCGCACGAGCTTTTAATTTCTGGTCATGCATGCGCACCGGTCACCTGGTCTTTCAGTTTCTGGTGCATATGCATGCGTGCATGCATGAAGGCCAGGGTACATGTGCATGCCGGAAACCAAGTTTCCCAGTGCGCACATGCGTGCCAGGGAGCTGCTCTTCCGGTTTCTGCCACTTCTGCATGCACAAAGACCAGCTGGAAGAGCAATGGGTGACGGCTGGCCTGCCTGGAGAGATGGTTCTACGTGTCACTTTCAGCACGTGTGTCATAGGTTCGCCATCACGGACATATGATAATAAGTTCCCATTTTTTGGGGTTACATTTTTCCAACATTTGCTAGGCATATTTTTAAACCTTTCAGCTAACCCAGCAGGTGGTGTGTGCCATCTATAGAACATTTTATATACATTTTCTAGATGTTGTCAATTTATAGTTCTTTTCTCATAAGTTTTGACGTTTCTCTCATTCTATATTATAACCAAAGTTTTTTTTTTTACCCACTGTGTCATGGTGACTTTTACTTGTTCATCCTTCCATTTTCCAGTTTAGGTTATATATATATACACATACATACATACTTCAGCTGATAAGGAGGAGAGTCTGTGGCTTAATGGCTAAGACATCTGCCTACCATGTAATATAGCACAGGCTCGAATCCCAGTAAGGGTATGGCTAGCTGATAGAGCTAAATAGCTTGAAATAGATCTATACTAGTCTCCCTTTATTTATTTATCAGCAAAAATATAACATACATACATACATACATACATACGTTCTAAATTATTTTTTCATCAGAGTTCAACAATATCTGATCAAAACTGCTTGTCCTTTATAAAAGCCATACTTTTTAGAAAAAAATAGGTATAATATCAGAGAAAAGAGAGCAGTCACACCCCTTTCCACTCTATCCCCTAGCTTTGCCTCCATAAGCTTGGCGGGTTGACATATTTCCCCGTTCTCGGACAATAAAACATTCCGCAGGAGTATTTCCCCGCTTTGCACTAGCCCTCCCCCTGAAGACTAATAACAAGAGACCCAGAATGGCTGATGCGTTAAAAGCACCTTCATTTTTTAAATACAGGCTATTTTCTCTCCCGGCCATCCTCCCACGCTGAGCGCACCATCAATTTCCCCCATGAAGTTCAAGGCTGCACATCTGCTGTAATTCCCTGCCCGTTCCCTCTCTCATCCGATCTCTGCCAGCAGTCTCTTTGTCACCCCTCCTCCTCCCCACCCACAATCAGCTGAGTGGGTGGCGTGGGAGTGGATCCGACAAAGGGGGGGAATCTCCCTTTTGCTCTCCAGTGAGTGGCTGGACTTCCTCCCTCTCTCTTCCCCCTCGCCTTACCTGGTCGCGCGCATCCTCAGTGGGTTCATCTCCTCTCCGAGAGATTTACTCCTCCTTAATCTCTCCCCCACTCCCTCCCTCCATCCACCCCCGGCTGCTCCATCTGAACAGCCGGCGACAGAAGGAGAAACAACCGAGGAACAAATGAACGGACGGGTTGGCTGCCGGGCAAGAGGAGGCATTTGCTACTTTGGGTAAGAAATGTTTCTTTTTTGGGGGCGGGGGAGCTGTATTATTATTTTTTTCTTCCTTTTGATGCACGAGCGCATCAGGGGCAGCAGGGACTGGGGGAAAAATGTGCTGAGGTAGCAGGGTGGAGCGGCTACGAGAGATTTTGCCAAGTCTCTAAAGCTCACCAGGAAACGGTTTGGATAGCAAAGAAAGAAAGAAAAATACATCGGGGTTTTAAAAGCTGGTATCTGGTCAAAGGAGGCGGTTTGGACCACAGTTGTAAAACGGCCCCAAATGTATCTTTTTTTGGGGGGGAAGCAGATGGGTGTGTTATTTGCTGCTTCTCTGCTACTCGCTAAGGGCTGCTGCACAATGCGCTGAGATGCCAGCGCCAGGCTCTTAAACTACGGTGCTGCAATTTGGTGCATTTTTGTTTAGCAGCTCAGTGTGGTGGAGTTTCGTGAATGCCTTGGAGAAAGCTCACCTGTTAATCTCGGTGACAAAAAGCCACCGCGTGTTTTTCTCCGTCTTTTAAAGAAAAATAAACTTTCGGCTGCGGCAGCTTCATTCAGGGGGGGATTTAATCCGTGCAGTTTACGTGGAAAACAGAAGTCTTAGGGAAGCAGGAAGTCAACCATGGCCATCCATCTCGGGAAACGTCCAACAAACTGAATGCCATTAAGCTTTAGATTAAAACGTCCAATTGACAAGTTTTATTGGTGGGGGTGGAGGATGGGGTTGGGAGAATATCATGCCTAGAAACTTAAAATGAATGTTTCAAAATTGTGTTGCACAAGAATTTGATCGGTGTGTTTTTTAAAACCAGAAAGAACGTGAAAGTGAATGTTAGATCTGTCCTGAGATGGCAGAAGTCTCCCTGAGTGAAGGCAGAAAAGATCTAAACTCAATAAAGACACTGTAATCCTTCGTGCCAACTCTGGAAACCCCAGTTGGTAGATAGTAGATCATGTGTAATCCTTCCAGAAAGACTTTTTGCTCTGGGTTAAATCCAAATGAAGGCAAGTTATAAACCGATACTCACTCAAGAATCCATTTTAGTATGAGAGTTGATAAAGAGTCAGCTTTTTAAATTCTGTCATGGAGAATTAAATTAAAAAGAAAAAGTAGCTAGAAAGACACTGATTCCCGTGATCATCTCAAGCCAAGTTCACTGTCTTCCTTCCTCTATTTCCTCCCTTTCTTTCTTTCTTTCTTTCTTTCTTTCTTTCTTTCTTTCTTTCTTTCTATCTATCTATCTATCTATCTATCTATCTATCTATCTATCTATCTATCTCTCTTTCTTTTCTTTTTCTCCCTTTCTCTCTTTTTTCTTTCTTTCCTCTTTCTCCCTTTCTCCTTTCTTTCTCTTCCCTCTCTCTCCCTTTTTCCATTCTTTTTCTTTTTTCTTTCTTTCTTTCTCCCCCCCTCTCTTTCTTTCTTCACATTTTCACTGCTGATTGTTGAACCTAGTGGGGAAAATTTGTACTAGGTTTTCCGGAGACTCAGATATAGCACTTACAGGCTTATACGCCTTCATTTAAAATGGACTCCTTTCTATTAAGCTGCTGGATGTTGCTGATTCTTGCAGTGGTTGTTTCAAACAAGGGTCTGCAAAACAGACTTGGTAACTCTGTTGGGGAAAAAAATAAAATAAAAAAGGGGTGAGAGGGAAAGTGAAAGAGAAAAGATTGTGGGCCATTATTTTACTGTGAAGCAGATGGAAATGGTTACAAGAGATTTTTTTTAAAACATACGTAAAAGGAAACCTACAAAATGCGGGGTCCATAAAATGATGATTATATATTTGGCCTGCAAAGAATGTATAGACAAAATTGCTTCTTTTTATGAAACTTCTTTTAAGCATCTTTCTTGCCAATTTACAAATGAGGCTTTATTAATTCCCACAGACCATAAACATTACTTATCTATGCCATAAAAACACCTGCCAGCATACCAGTATAGAAAATGCAGCGTTTCCCTTTTTCAAAACTTTGTTGTTGAGATAATTGTTGTTATTATTATTGTTACTTCATTGACCAAGACCAGCAAAGTCTTGGAACAACCAGAGATTGTGGCTAATAGTTGACTCACTTACAAATGTAACAAAAATGGTTAAATTATTAAAGCGGAATCTGCTTCTGTTGAAAAGCCATCAGTAAGCAAGTATGGATTATTTGAATTATTTATTCAAAACTATAGTTGGAATGTCTATTTATGGGAACATCTTTCTGGTGGGATCTCTCGAGTGAGTGGAAGATACAGTGTGCATGGTGGAGAGAAAATGTCTAATTGAAGTATTTCAAAGACCATTGGAGGGAATCCCCTCTCCTTGGATTTTTATGTTGAACTGGTCTCATGAGGTGGATAAAAGAGGTTGTCCTTTTTACAATTCTTTCAAAGGAGATGGACATTTTGGAGAAGTTCCCTGGGATGACATGGTGTTCTTCCACAGGCTTAGTGAGAGAGTAGTTGAAGGCTATCTATGAATGGCTTGCTTTTTTTAAATTATTCTCTCTTTGGGGTCCAATAGAAAGCATTCAGAAGGGGCATCTGCTATGGGGCATCTGAAACTTCTCCATAGCCTTAATTACCATCCTTCCCTCCCACCTTCCCTCCCTCCCTCCTTTCATTCCTCCCTCTTCTCTCTCTCTCTCCCTCTCTCTTCCCCTCCCTCTTTCTCTTCCCACTCTCTTAACTGTTTGTCCATCCATATCTATCTATCTATCTATCTATCTATCTATCTATCTATCTATCTATCTATCTATCTATCTATCT